TACGTAGTAGTAGTAGTAGTAGTAGTAGTAGTAGTAGTAGTAGTAGTAGTAGTAGTAGTAGTAGTAGTAGTAGTAGTAGTAGTAGTAGTAGTAGTAGTAGTAGTAGTAGTAGTAGTAGTAGTAGTAGTAGTAGTAGTAGTAGTAGTAGTAGTAGTAGTAGTAGTAGTAGTAGTAGTAGTAGTAGTAGTAGTAGTAGTAGTAGTTGTTGTTGTTGATTGATTAGATGGGGTAATAACAAGAAGAGCGGAGGGGAAACGGGGATTTTATTGTTATGTACTCTGCTCTGTATGATATGCCAGCCTAATTCCGTCTCTTCTGCTTCTGCTTCCACTTCTCCCTTCTCTTTCGCCCTCGTCGACTTTGCTCGTTCAGGGACGCTCCAGACGCACCACACGGGAGCTTATCAGTCCTTCAGGCTTTTACATTGGCCACTTCTCCCCTTGATCGGCCTCCCCCGCGATAAGGTGATGATAACAACGGCTTGGTGGTGGCTATGGCTGGACCTTGCCGCTTCGTGTCGCATGCGCCATTAGAGTCTGGGCTGCGGTGTGAATGGTCCCTGCCAGCCGTTGCTTATCGGAGAATAAAACCAATTGATGCAGTGATGCAGTGATGCAATGGGCAAGGGTTCGTTGGTATAAGTAGCGGTCCGTCTGCTCTGCGCTGTCGACCATTCGCAAGTAACTATAGCCCATTCTTTCGCTCGATTGATGTCCATAACCTTGTCACCATGGCGGAGAAGTCCCAGAACATGGACTTCATGTCTAAGGTTTCACCAGAAGTGGGCGAGGAGCCCTCGCTGGAACAAGGCGATATGCAGCTTCTAGGTACGCTTGCTTATCGTCTGTCTCGTGTGTCTATGCTGACGAGACCAGCGACATTGGGGTACAAGCAGGAGCTGCGCAGACATTATTCGACCATACAGGTCTTCGCAATTGCATTTAGTATCATGGGACTTTTACCGTCGATCGCATCGACCTTATCGTATTCCATTCCTGCTGGACCTGTGGGTATGGTCTGGGTACGTCGCCCTTCTTGCTATGCTTACACAGGGGTTGCTTGGTACCTGACTAGATGAGGCTTGTGGCTAATGCACCGCAGGGTACGGTGTCTCTTGTTTATGCAGTGTGATGTGCTCTAGGCAGTGGTCTGACAGGGATTCTAGGTTGGTTTGCTGCGAGTGTGTTCATCTTCATAGTGGCATTGGCTATGGTCTGCCTCTCTCAGTTTTTTTTGTCCCTATTATTCTGGTCGGACGCTTACAACTCCGTGTCAGTTAGGCCGATCTAGCGTCTGCGATGCCCACTGCCGGTGGTCTATACTTCTGGACCCATTATTTCAGCGGAGAGAAATGGAAGAATCCCCTCAGCTTTGTCGTTGGATACAGCAATACAATCGGTCTGGTTGGAGGTGTCTGTTCTATAGATTGTGAGCGGCGCCCCTCTTTCTCGTGAGATGCTTCTGCCTCGGACTGACTCGGAGGGTGAGATGGGTTCGCCACTATGCTGTTGGCTATTGTTTCCATTGCGCGCGATGGCGAATGGACTGCTTCCCGTCCGGCCCTTTACGGCACGTATGTCGCATGCGTCGTCGTGCACGGCCTGATTGCCATCTTCTTTGCGCGCGTGATGCCCAAAATCCAGTCTGTTTGCATCGTCCTCAATGTGGGCCTGGTCTTTGCCACTGCTCTCGCATTGCCGATTGGTAAGGCAGTACGCGGCGGGCAGATCAACTCGGGTGCTTATGTCTTCGGGCATGCTGAGAATCTCACCACTTGGCCCGAGGGCTGGAGCTTCATGATCGCGTGGTTGTCGCCCATCTGGACCATCGGGGCGTTTGACTCCTGTGTCCATATGAGTGAGGAGGCCACCCATGCTGCGCGAGCGGTACCACTTGGGATTGTCTGGTCCGCGGGCCTGTGTGGCCTGCTGGGATTTGTCTCGCTGGCGATAATGGCGGCTGTGATCGACGTGGATCTAACGGGGGTCCTCGACTCCAAGTTCGGACAACCCATGGCACAGGTGGGTTCCTATTTATTCTGTCAATTGAGGCCGGGCTGATATTGAGCAACTGCATCCTCCAGATCTACTATGACTCCCTCGGAAAAAGCGGCGCGCTCGGCTTCATGGTCGTGGTAGCCGTTGTCCAGTTCTTCATGGGCTTGAGTCTTGTGAGCTCAGTCACTCTCTTTCAGTACCGAACAAACGATCCGAGGCACATTTAACTGACCCCTAATCGCGGAACCTAAAAACAGGTGGTCGCAGCCTCCCGTCAGAGCTGGGCCTTCTCACGCGACGGCGCCCTCCCCTTCTCCTCCTTCTTCCGCCACGTCAGTAAACGCATTCGGTTCCAACCCGTCCGGATGGTCTGCGCCGTGGTCGTAATCGCCATCATCCTCGGTCTGCTCTGTCTGATCGACAACGCTGCGGCCAGCGCGCTGTTCTCTCTAGCCGTGGCGGGCAACGATCTCGCCTGGATGGTCCCGATCCTGGCCCGGCTCGTCTGGGGCCAAGACCGGTTCTACCCCGGAGAGTTCTATACGGGCCGGCTGAGCAAGCCCATTGCAATCACCGCGATCGTGTATCTGGCTTTTGCTATCGTGCTGAGCATGTTTCCTACCGAAGGACCAAGCCCGACCCGTAAGTTTCACTCCTCAGTCCTCTGTCTTGGTTAGGTGTATATATGGATTCCGCGCTGACTGCTGTTCCTGTGCAAAAACCTAGCTGCGGATATGAATTACACCATTGTCATCAATGGTACCCTGTGGCTTGGGGCGCTGCTTTACTATGCGGTCTATGCGCGCAAGGTGTACAAGGGCCCGCAGACAACCGTGGGAGAGTCAGCTAGTCCGTCCGAGACGAGGCTCCCGCGGGAAGCGGAGGGAGAGAAGGAGAAGAAGGGTAACACTGATTGAGCCCTTTCTTTTCTTTCAATGGCTTGTACTTCGGGGTAGCTCAATAGAATCTCCGTGCCTGATTCGTTTATCATCGCGCGAGGTACTGATAAGACGCAAGGGTCAAGATACTGTAAGCCGATTCCAGGGGCCAAGAGAATCATTTGATTGGAGAACTGATTTGCAAACGCTGTGGTACATTACATCGTAGGACACCCCATTGACACCCCATGTGTTTAGCAATGCATGAGGGAGGGGTGGGGGACGGCTTTCGAAATCAAGAGACAAATAGAAAGCAAAGGTAGATAGAGGGTCTCATCGTCGTCACCTTCGTAAAACGGATACTATCCCGGTCCAGCGAGAAAAGGCGTGTATCGAGAAGGAATGCATCTACTCGGGGACTTCGAGGACATAGCGGCCAGCGATCTTGCCTTGTTCTGTTTTGGTGAGACGCTGTGTTAGTCCTGATTCCGCCAAGTGCAATAGGGGAAGAGAGGCAACATACCCATCAACTCGAAGATCTTGGGGAGATCCTTCAGGGGAGCCGTCTTGAAGGGGGCGTTGATCAGTCCGCGGGCGAAGAAGTCGACGGCCTCGACGCCATCCTGGCGGTTGCCGACGTAGCTGCCCTTGATGTTGACCATGCGGACGACGGTGTTGAAGACGGGGGCCCGGAGGAAGGCGTTGCCGGGCAGGCCGATGGCGACGACACTGCCCCGCGAGCGCACATACTCGGTCGCCTGCTGGAAGGGCTTCTCGGCCACGGCCAGGAGGATGACAGCGTGAGCGCCGAGACCCTCCGGGGTGGCGGCTTTGACGTCGGCGACGATGTCGCTGGAGGTGGTGAAGTCGATGTATGCCTGGTTTTGAATTCTCGTTAACTTTTCTCTTTCTTCTAAAGAAAAGGATGTTTCTCTTCTCTCTTACCTCCGAGCCCAGCTTCTGACAC